GAAGGGACTAGCTGGTGAATTAGATTACTCTTTTGAAGCTAAGAATGCATCCAAGTATCTGGTATGTATCTTTTAATCTCAAATGTAACATCTTGATGGTGATTTTCCTTTAAAATATACTTTTTACAATTAATTTCATGAATATAATACCAATTTAGTGAACTAGAAACGTAAAAGCATAAGCTTTTAAGCATTAAACCACAATTTAGTCCGATTTTATACACTAAAGATTTTATATGAAAACAAAAGCGTTTTAGTTAACTAAAAGCGTAAAATCATAAACTTTTAAGTTTTAAAACGCGATTTTAGCTACATTGGTTGGAATCATTTTGCCAATTGCACCATCATCTATGCCGCCATAGCTTCCACTGTCCCAGGTTGCCAATTTCACGACACCTTCTTTGATACAACAAACAATAACTTTCCCTATAATTCGGCAACAACAACATGACCCTAGATAACGAGGATGGCGGGCATCAAGAGGGAGATTGTTTTTACAAAAGTTAATCAAATATTTATTCAAAGAATAGATAGTTACATCTTGGAATTCAGCCAGGTCTGGGCTACCCTATTACTACGCCAACCTACAATCGAACACTAAACCCAAAATGGATGGCAAAGTAATGCACGATTTCTTCAAGCCCCCATCTTGTTATCGCTGGTATCAGCGCGATTGATCTTATCAATGATCAATTTGGCATCTACTTCGAACCTCATTTCTCTGAAGACGAGGTTCAGACACCATACAATAGCCTCCCGGAGCACTAGCAATTCTACCACCATAGGGTCACTAATCAACGAAAATGGAATCCCATTAGCCATAAAGATATCCCTAGCTGGGTTCATAATAACCATCCCGCCTGCTGAATAAGACCCACTCCTAGTAGCCCCATCCCACATAAAAACAACCATATTAGCCCCCCCCCAGGACCCAATTATTGTATCAAAGGGATAGAAGCCTGAGGCGCTCGATCCACCGGCAAACTTACCCAATCCTCATATTGCTGATTAAACTGGCGCATCAAGGCAGGGATCCCAAACTGTTTACCCTCAAAGACAACCTAATTACGAGACCGCCAAATCCTCAGAGGATGGCAGCAATCTCCATGAACAGTGAAGGTTGATGTATTCAAGACATCAACTTCTTAAGAAAGAGCGGGAAGGTATGATGAGGCAACCCTCCCCAAGATACTCCAAACCCGAAAAGTCCCAAAGGGCGCGCCACCGAACAATAGAGAAACAAGTGTTCCATTGTTTCAGAATCAGCCCAACAAACCGGGCATCTGGGAAGCACATGAACTTCCTTTTCGATGAGGGCTTCAGTAGTTGGCAGGATTCGGTTGAAGATTTGCCCGACAAACACTTTCGATTTGGGCGGAATATTAGCCTCTCATAAACGAATCCAACTGGTCTTATCCATCCAATTTGCCATATTAACCCCATCTGCCATCCCCACGATGGGCGAGAGCGAGCTGTAGCACTAAGGAAAGTCTCAGTCGAAAAATATGTTCCTTTGTGAACCTGGCTAAAAGAGTCTAGGGTTCATGAAGGATACACTATCCAATTTTGGCCAATAGGGCCTGATTAAAATGTTCAAATCGGTGAAATCTCATACCCCCATCATGTTTACTCCTGTACATATTACGCCAGGAAATCCACTGAATCCTCGAATGACTATCTTCAACACCCCACCAGAACCGGGCAACATCTTTGTCCAAGAGACGACATAGAGATAGAGGTAACTTGAAACAGGGCATAACATGCAACGACAATGCTAAATCAATTGATTTAATCAAAGTTTTGTTCGCTGCCCAAGATAATGTCCTCTGCTTCCAACCTTGCGCTCTAGTAATTTCTCCTCCAAATATCGGAAAGTAGCCATTTTAGACCGGACAATCAACGTAGGTAAGCCCAGATACTTATCATGGACCCCTACCGCCCTGACTCCCAGAATCTCAACCAAGAATTCTTGATTCGGCATAGCAATATTTTTACTGAAGCAAACTGTCGATTTAGCCAAGTTCATCCAACAAGAGGGAGATTAGCTACGCCATGATTGGCTGAAACCATATAGGCGTTTGGTGTGACATAGAGACGTTTGGTGTGATAGAAATAATGTTTGTATTTTTAGAGTACATTATTTTATTTTACCCACATACAATACATGTATTATTTGTTTGTTATGATAAAAAATAATTAAAAATAAATAACGGTACAATCTCAATTTTTTAGTTGAGAATGTGTTATTTCTCTTTTTTATAATATACAAGATTGTTACTTCTCCTTTTGTTCTTCCAAATTTATCCTTTAAAAGTATTAATACATTTTTTTTATAACAAAGTATTTATACATTAAGAACAAGACACAATTAACATTTCCTTTAAAAAGTGAGTTTCCTATTATTGATAAAACAATCTCAAATATATCGTAATTGACTTTTTTTTGTTGTTGACAATTATCGTAATTGACTTCAATTCGCTGGAAGCCGTGAAGTTTGAGGAAGTGTCAAATAAATAGGTCACCCGATTTCAGCGGGCTCTTTTCTTCTCGTTTCGTTTTCCCCAACCAGACAAAATTACCCTTTTGCCCCACTTTGCTCCTCCGTTTCAAAATAAAGACCCCGTGCTTCCGTACGGCTCTCTCCTACCTCACTGATTGGCGAAACGAAACTCTTCCGTCCTCCCCGACGCTTTTTCCCTATCATCTGCAACCGTTTTCTTCCGCCGATGGCCGCCGCCGCCGATTCTCCGGCCACCGATCACAATTCAGCAATGAGGTAACTAACATCGTAATCGTACTCTCTTCCTTCTTATTGTACTGAGAGCTTCACTTCAAGCCTTCGTTTCGTCTGTTGGATTGGTTTTGTCACACTGTTCTGACTGTTGATCGCGGAGCAAAAAATACCCGCAGCAGCCGGAATCCGGAAGTTCTGTGGGCGCAGCGCTCCGATAAAGTGTACTTGACAGTAGCCTTGCCGGACGCTAAGGACATATCGGTGAAATGCGACCCCAAGGGTTTGTTCAGCTTCTCCGCTCGCGGGAAACAGGGTGAAAACTTCGAGCTCAATCTCCAGCTCTTCGCTCCCATTCTCCCCGAGGTTAGAAATTTCCCGCTTCCTTGCCCCTGCTTTTCTTTTCTTTTCTGTAGCAGTAATTAGTGAATCTCTGCTCTTATTGTTTCTCTCGTCCGGGCTCTTACTGTTTGTTTTCGTATGGAATTTCGTCGTCTATTGTATGGAATTTTGCTCTGGAAGAGAAAAATCAGAGCTCGTAGAGTGTGTTCATGCCTTAATAGAAGCCGATATTTGCAGGGATAAAGCTTGTTGAATCATGTGCCTTTTTGTGCTGAATTTGAATAGGGTAAATATAATGTGATGTGTCGATTTCCATGCAAGCATGTTAACGGTTTGATCGATGGGGGTGGTTGCAGAAATGCAAAACTAATGTGGGGTTAAGGAACACAATCTGCTCGATTCAGAAAGAGGAGAAAGGGTGGTGGAAAAGATTGTTGAAGTCGGAAGAGAAGCCGGCACCTTACATTAAAGTTGATTGGAACAAGTGGGTGGATGAAGATGATGAGGAATCAACTCGTAAGTCATTCATCAATGGCTGCTTTACCTTTTCTTTTAGCTAGCTTGCTAGCTCTTTCTCAGTGTTGTCCCATTCTGGTTTCTTGATCCATGATCAGAACAAGGTAGCTAGACCCTGATCCCATTCGTTAGCTTTGGTCCACTGTCCTTAAACTTAGTGGGTGTTTGCTCATAATATGTTGAATACTTTGTACGGTTAATTGGTCAGCTAGGCATTTTGGTTCGAGACATACTGGAAAGTGTCTTGGGCATGAGCATTTCTTTCAAGCGGATTCTCAGAATCTTAACACGAATATTTGTCCGATGTTGAATGTGTTCGTTATCCAGGGGGCTAGTTCTAACAGTTTTTCTATGCTTCATTTTGCAGTTGACGAATTTTCGGACGAAGATGACACTGTTGCGGTAATCTAATGTTGTTTGACAAAACCAATCACTTGTTCAAGTTTCGTAATGAGTAGCCGCATGACATCGGGTCCCCTTTCTTTTGCAGGATGATGAGGATGCTGAAAGCAATGACGACGAAGGAATGCTTTGTAAGTTGGAAAAAAGTCAATACTTTTCCTGAATCACTGTAGTTAGTGCGTTTTCCACTTTTTCCAGCACACGATCATGCCAACACTGTAGATATCTGTATGGTTACTTGGTGGGCAAAACACTTGGCACTGAACGTACACCATGATTGATGAATCTGAAACTTTTTTCTCTTCTTTTTGCAGACCTTCCTGATCTGGAGAAGGCTAGAGGAAAGTGAGCTGATTCTTATGGATGGTGCTGCCAAGGTTGGTTTATGTGAATAGAGCCATTAGCTGCCTGCAACTCCAATGTCCTCCCTCTTTGTCTGAATTTAGCTAGGAGTATATGCTGTTGAGAAGCTTAGCTTAGCTTAGCTTAGCGCTCCTCTGGTTTTGACTACCAATAGTACTAATTAGTAATCGCTGTAACTTCGCCTGAGCTCTTGTTTCTTGTTTGAATCTAATCGTAGTATATGTCAAATGTTAGCAGAAGGCTCTAGCCTTTCCTTTTCACTTTTAACTCCTTAAGTAGTCCAAAAGTCTGATAAACTAGTACGTTGGGGTTTCAGTTTCTACCTTTCTGTGAGCAAGTAGTTGGTCATTTTCAATCACTTTGACCGTCGCTTGAAACAGTAAGAACAGCGGTTCGCTAGCTTGGTCTAGTATTTAGTTGAGTTTAAGTAGGGGTGTCATGTGTGCTACGGTTTAGTCTGGAGCGGACCAAATTTAGGAGAACCCCTATTCTATAGTGAAAGATTGTACCAACAATGCATTTGGTCTGCATTGATTCGATTCATTTTTCTTCAGTGGTTTATTGTATCAGAGCCTCGACTAAAGGATTGCAGTCGGCGAAGATTGCCGTTGCTGATGGGCAATATTTGCACGCCGGCCAACTGACCTGTACAGCAAGAAGAGAAGATCTCCGTGTATTCCAGTTCTTAATGATGGACGAGTGTTTTAACAATTTACACATTTCAAACTCGTCCATCAACAAACAAAAGTACAAACCACCTGGACAGCTTGTAAATACATACGGTAATCGAAAGCGAAAAACCAATAACTGCCTAGTTCTCCTTCTTCTCCGAGGGTGGAGAAGCCGGCGGAGGTTCGTCGACTACACGGACACCGACGACTGGGATCGAATCCCACCATTCTTTAAGCCTCCTGTTCCCTTGATCATTCTCCATGTACTTCCCTAGCTTCGACGTCACGATCCCATAGTACACAACTCCACCCATCAGGATGTACTTCAGCGGAATCACTGCCAGGATCAATGCCAATGAACCCATCACCATCATTGCCCTGTCCGAATGCTGCATCGTAGAAAAGACGGTGAACAACCTCGAAAAACGAATGATACCCGATGTGCATAGACTAGTTTCGCCGTACCTTTGGGGCTTTCGCACTCATCAAGGACCAGATTTTCAGTATGGCTATGTTTGCTGCTTGCATAATCTCGTGCACAGTTCTTAACCCAAACTGAGCTGCCACGATACTCTCTGTCGTGCTCTTCTGTTCCCCGCCAGTGTGGACCACTATCTCATCATCGCTGTCGGCTCTCCCTCGTCTCGCCTGGAGTATCCTCCATGTGATTCGTAGCAAGAAAGCAGCCACAGCTTTGCCGACCCACTCCCTATTGTTCATCCAGCCCATTCCATGTTCTCCCAGTCATTTCAATGGACTCAACAAACCAGCAAGTTCAGAATAATGGGGAAAAAGGGAAAGAGACTTACTTGTAGATGATAGCTATAGTTGTGATGAATACAATTAGAGTTGTTGATGGCCGTTCCCATGAAACGATCTCTACAAACCATGGGAGAAGGTCTCTCACCGGCTTAGTCAACTCCTGCAACATTTTAGAATGAAATCATACCATCACTTGCTTAAGGGGGACAGCTTTTATAAGAGTTGGTTGTATGTTTAGACTACATGAGATTTACCCACCATGAGAACTTGAGCGCTTTCACCGATCCCTTCTTCTTTCAACCCTTCTGTTGTGGCCTTCGCGATATCAACCGCCTTAGCTTCCTCCCTCACCTGATGGACCGCGCTATCCAGAGATGAACGTATTATCTCATCTTCTTCTCCACCAACACGCCCGCTTTCCTTCTTCTCCAGCTTCACCTCTCCACTCGACGCGAGCAATTGAGACACATTTATGTTCCTCAGAATCGAGCTAGCGCTGCAGGGGTGTCCACTGTTGACCGTCTCTATACTTGCAGCCAGCTGGTCCAGCACGTAGTCGCCCTTTGGTAGTTCGTCATACAGTGCGAAGATGAGGAACTTTGTTGGGTCCGGCGGAGAGATTCGGAGCAGCTCTCTAGCTGCGTGCAGCCTCACTATCCCGAGAACGGTTCTTGAGTGGATTTCCCACGCTTGTATCTCGCACTTCACATTGTACCTCGACAGGAACTGGTGCATTAGTATGATCTCCTTGACTAGGGCCAGCCAGTGATCGCGCCTTGTCGAGCTCGTCATCTCCGGGAACTCCAGCACAATGCCTTCCGATCTGCAGACCGAAATTCCATTCAACGATGTTTCTATGAACCTCAAGAATTTGGTGAAGGAGAATTTGTGGTCTTACAATTCAGGGGACTCGTAGATGATGGCCCTGTCGAAAACTGGAGCACCCCATGGGCCCGTGGCGGTGGCTTTGATGCTGTGTTTGGCATCGCTCGAGAGGTCAATTTTGATGGCATCCTCGTACGTGACCACCCCAGATGCCTCGAAGTAGAGAGCGTAGTTGGTGAGTGTGAGCCTACCTAAGAGGAAAACATTGTCAGAATTAGAACCAAAAGGGGGAACAACATTGTTAGAATCACACCAAAAAGACGCTATCGCGAGGATTCAAATCGAGATGGTAGTGAGGACAACATACTACGTGGCTACCTTGGAAGGTAACATTGTCGACGTTACACGACGAAGATGCTATGAAGGACTCAGAAAGACACGGAGAGAACATAATCAACTGGTCTGAGTTAAGGATGCCTATGAGGAAATTATTTGTCAACACTTCAAGAAAAAACTTGTATAAATGATTCAAACGAGATGGTAGACGACAGCATAATAAGGCCGCGTAAGAGCAAACATTGTCATCATTCTACCAAGAAGGCGCCTACCAAGGATACAAAAATTGGATAGAAGAGAGCATATTTGACAAGTATGACAGCTATACCTAAGAGGTTGAGCCAGCATCACTGTAACACCGAAAAGGAGATATTGAGGATTCAGAACGAAACAGAGGGAAAGAGTAGTAAGAGCTATTTTTTTTACCAGGCCAACTTGTGCCACCAATGTGTCGGACCACACGCTGGGAACTAGCGGTGCCATCTACGTGCAATATGAACTCGTCATCAGCGAGTTCCACGCCTTTCGGCTTAACTTGCTTCTGCAGATTCTTTATGGATCTGAAGCAAAAGAACCAGTAGCCATGATCAACATCCTAAATATGTAAAAAAACAACAGATTGCACACCTATCTACTAGAGGCAGGTTTAGATGACAAAAGCTTAACTGGTCAATTTCTTTCAAGAACTTGTCGTAGGCAGGGTAGAAAAGGCGATGGGCAGTGGCCGCCGTGAGGCTCTCAAATGTAAACCTCCCGTTCACAAAATCCACAACCAATGGCACCAATGTTCCCATCCAGACAACCGCGTCTTCACCCACACTCGGCTCATCGTCAACCTTTTTCCCAAAATCACCACAGAAATGAAACTCAAGACCCATTTCAATCACCCTTTTGAGTCACTTGAGCAAATTACTTACAAGGAGTGGCATAATGTCACTGTAGAAAAGTGGGATTTCATCCGTCTCTCCAGTAACTTTAGTGGGTATCTTCTTCCTATCTTCCAAACTCTTTCCCGCATTCTCCTATTAAGAAAACTCCAATAACATAAGAAAAAAAGAAAAAAAAAAAAACAGAGCAAATTGATCAAATGGGTTTGGAACCTGAGGAGGAGTCTCCCATTTCTAAGTTTGTTACCTCATTGGATTGCTCCTGCTGGGAAGTGGGAGTCTCCCATGCGAGCATCATGTCGAAGGTGAAGCGCGAGAACGATCCATCGACGATCTTCTCCTCGATGTATTGGCAATCTTGGCGCAATGCCTTTGAGCAGCAGAATTCCACCAACTTCTTCGAATACTCCCCTGTTTCTTCCTTCCACGCTTCCGCTTCAAATTCCGCCACCAATATCTCCACATTAGTCCCCACCGTTCTGTTACAAATACAGGGGAAGGAAACCATTGATCATAGCATTCCGAGGAAAATCCATTGGTGGCCATAGAAAAGGTTATTGTGCTCGAATTGGCCGTTCGCGTATAATCTCAGAATGGAAGAAAGTAGGAAGCTGACGCGAAATTAGATTAGATATCAAATTATTCAGCGACTATATATAATTGTTTTCTAACTTGATCAAAGAGCATTCGATTAATCGAACACAATGAGAGTAAGGAAACGAGATTGGGTTAGCAAGGGGAATATGGGATTGATTACTTGGCGCAACGGTGCACAACGACGTTGGCGGTGGAGGAGAGGTGTTTCATTTGGCCACACTTTTTCTTCTTCTTCCTCCTCCTTCGTTGAATCTCTTTCGAATATTGTTATATGAAATTAAGGTTTTGTTTTCCTTTCTTTTGGCTATCTTGATCGGTATAGAGAGAGAATGGAAGAAGAAGAGGAAGGAGGGGAGTTAAGGATTGCATGGAGAACGGTGTGGAGGGATGACGTATCTATCGACAAACGCTGCCACGTGGGGATGTTCATGCAGACACATGGTACCACCTCCCTCAAGTTCGCAACTTGGTTTGGGTATCACATCATCACTAAGCCGTCACATCTATTTTTTTAGGGTGGGATACGATCACATCTCCTTGGGGTTGTGAGATTCATAATCAAGAACAATTTAGATATGACAAAAAAATATTAATTATTTTTTTATTAGTTACCTATTAAGAATTAAAACCCAAATTAAGTACATATATTTTTTATATATAAAAACCTACATTAAATACATTTATATTTCTCTCTTCCTTTTCTAGCCACCACTCCGCTTTGACCGGCAAACTTATTCTCCAGTCAAATCCTTCCGACAGGCTTTCTCCAGCAAAATCTCTTCGGCAGACTCCCTTCGAAAACCAGCAAAAATGTAACAGTGCGTTAAAAAATGTACATTAGTATAGTGGTAGTGATTTTTGAGTGGTACGCTACCAGTACAACGCTACCACTTACCACTACCATCTGGCAGTTGATACGATGAAAATCACTACCACTACCACTCGACTACACACATAACAAACCAAAGCTGGAATAAAAAAAATCATAAATCTAAAAAACCAGGGGATGAGGAAAGGGAGAGGCGATGACCTTGCGACGGTAGCAGGGAGAGGGTGGTTGTGGCAAGCGGCGGTAGCGGCGGGCAATGGAAGCGTCATCGGAGCACAAAGGCAGGAGAAAGTAGGGAAGCGACAGGAGGATGACAACATCAACTTGGGAGGAGGACGCCGCAGGTCGGATGTCATAGCGTGGAGATCGCCGAGGGGAGAGAGGAGGCGGCGACAGTGGGATGGTGGTGGTGGCCTTTGTGCATTTAGGCAAGGGGTATGAAGAAAGGTAGAGAGGAAGATGAAATTCGTTTTCAGAATGAAATAACTCATGACAAGAAAAGATGAAACCCTTTTAAAAGCAAAGAGGAACTGATTATTCAAAGGCAGAATAACAGAGTTACAAACTTCCAGAACAGAGAGCGAAAACAGTCACAAGCTATTTCTAGCTATGACAACTTGATAAACTCTTATAAACCCTAGCTACGACCAACTCTTAGTTTAACAGAGAATCAACAATTGTACTACCTAAGCACCCGCTTCTTGCAATCACAAAAGTAAGTAACAGAGAGTACAATCGAGGGTTTAAATAGCCACAACATTCTCCAAGCATCTTCTTCTCCAGCGAGTTGAATGCATAGTTCGAGTTCCCATGTCTTATTGAATCCTTCAGTAGCCGTTGAACTTGAACTGAAAGTGGCGGTCTTTTCTGCTTCATAAAAAACGTCGTTAGTTGCAGCACATGAAACTTTAGTGAGGAAGTGAAGAATGTCGCCGTGTTGATTAAGGAGAGAAGCGAAGGACGTCGATGTTTTGCTTCGATCAACAATCTGCCCCTGCGTTCGAGCTTCCACACCTTGTTGACCAGGACCTGCCACATCAAAGAAGATACCAATGCAAAGCCAACAAGCACAAAACAACCAACAAACCATACTAAGGCGTATCAGTTTTAACTAACACAATCTTTGAAAAAACACAATCTTAACAAAAATACTCCCCCTGGGAGCAACCATCCAAGTCACAAACATTTTATCTCCTTCAAGGAGAAATTAGTTTCACATCTGACGAAATGAATAGTTTTCTTTCAATTGTCAGATATTCAAATAGAAAACTTTAAACACCAGAAACATGATAGCAGGCACGTCTTCGGGCATTTGGGGTCACGTCTTCATTCGGAGCTGCTTCAACGGAGTCTTCTGTCTAAGGAGAGTTGGGGTTTCTGACATTGAAGACCAGGGAGTCAAGAGCCCTGTCGAGAGGTCCATTTGGAGAGATTTTTCTCGGACGACGGTCAACAACCATGCCATCTCCCCCTTGTGGAAGTTTGAAAGGGATCCCAAGAGCCAAAGACAGAATGAGGCAAAATCTCAGTACAGAGATGGAGGAGGCAAAAAGTAGAGAGATTAACACCCAGATTGGCAAACAGCTGAGCGATGAAGTCTCCAAACGGAAGATCTCATTGGAAGTGTTCATTTGAGGTAGATATCATGAGATAAAAAATAATGTGGGAGTAGTTGAGGCGCTTTTTGGAAATGGCTTTGGAATTTTCCCAGAGATCGAGTTCAGTGACAACTCCAAGTTGATCAGATATGGGAAGGAGGACTCTAGTGAGAAAGTAGTGGAAAACACGAAGATGTGGGGGGAGACAAGACACCTTGACATGAGAGTAGTAATGGACATCTGCACCTGAGAGTTTGGAATAGGTGGTATGATGCGGCCCCAACAGCAGCGGAAGAAGGGATGGCGCAGGGGGAATACCCGACCAAGGAAGCCAAATACCCGACCGGGTATTATGGGGTTCCGACCGAGTATTTTTGTAGCGACCTGTCTCTTTTGGGCAGAAGGCTCCTCGACCGGGTATTTTTAGGGTTGACCCGGTATTTTGCCTCGGTGACGGGAATTTGTGTGTTTAAGCTGTTTTTTGTTATGTTTAATTGTCCAGGCCAATATAAAGGTTGAAACTCGGGTTTTAGGTTAGTTTTTAGCAGAATATTGATTTTTTAACTTGGTTTCTATATTGATTGAGCCTTCTCCTGGTTTGTGATGAGATTGCACTTTCAATTCCATCTTATCCCAAACAAACAAAAACCCCTAAACAATCTTTCTATTGTTCGTTCTTGGGGCTGCGTACTTTGATAGCTACGGTCTACGGGTACAGGTTCCATGCTCGTATCAGGTGGTATTAGAGCCCCAGTTCAACACAGTGGCAGGATCAAAAGCGAGAGGACCTGTTGCTTGTCGAACGAGGTCCAAATATCCGATTGCGGAACGTAGAGAAGAGCAGGAATCTCTCTCTAAAGAAGAAACCATAATCGAAGAACCAGTCATGGGAGAGCAGAGTCAGTACCTTGCAGAAGCTATGAAGCTGCTTGTCACGCAGATGGGAGCCTTGCTTCAGGCCCAGCAGGACGCTACAAAAGGTCAGCTGGTTGAGACGAATAAGAGACTGGATACCCTAATCACCAGGTTAGAGACGCAACCAATTGGTAATCCACTACTACCAGAGAATCCAGAAGTTGTCGCAGCTCAAACTAGAGCCGGGAACCGAGAGGGTCGAAGAGCAGAGCGAGTGTACCAAGCTTTTCCTGAGACCCCAGATTGGCAGATGCAGAGGTGCCAATACATGGAGCAACGTCGTCAAGTAATCCCGTAGAACATACCTCTATTTAATGACTATGAGAATGATTATTATGAGTATGGAGGAAGACCAACAGAAGCAGGAGGTTATGGCGTTGAACCGATTCGAGGGATTAAGCTCTCAATCCCCTCGTTTCAAGGCACTAATAGTGCATCAGCTTACCTCGACTGGGAGAGGAAGATGATTATGTTTTTCCTGTGCAATCCTTACCCAGAGCATCAAAAAGTTGTTGCACCCACCTATGAGTTTACAGATTATGCAGCAGTTTGGTGGGAAAAGATTCAGCAACGACGAAGAAGGAATCTGCAGCCTGAAGTTTCTACTTGGGCAGAAACCTGAGGCCTGATGCGTGATTGGTTTGTTCCGCCTTTCTATAAGAGTGATCTCCATGATGACTTATAGGGAATTCGACAAGGAACTCACTCTGTTGATGAGTACTTCAAGGAGCTGGAATTGCTCATGATGAGAGCAGAGGTGAGGGAAGACAAGAAAGCAACGATTGCTCGCTTTCTACATGGGCTCAACAGAGAAATCAACAATGAAGTAGAGCTTCGTCAGTTTGTGGAGTTGGAGGAAGCGGTGCATTTGGCAATGAAGGTGGAGAGGTAGCTGAAGGTGAGCTCGGAAAGAAGGTACCCACCTTCACCCAAACCTGTTACGGAAAATAGTCCTGAGGCTGTCACGAATCATCCTAAGCAAGAAGTTGACAAGCGAACTGCCAGGAATACAACACCAGTCATTCAAGCCAGGAATGAAGGCTCGTCTGGAAGCATCCAATGCTCAAGTGCTTGGGACGAGGTCACAAAGCCAACCAATGCCCCAACAAAAGGCTCTTATCTTGCAAGATGGAGAGTACTTTTCTGAGGAGGAGTATGAGGAGAAGTCCATGGAGAATGGATTCAGTTCTGATGTTGATTCTGAATATGATGATGTGGATGAGCACATCAAGGTTGAGAAACCTCCAACAGGTAAACTTCTTGGGGTGAACCGCCGAGCTTTATCTATTGAAGCTTAAACAGAGACAGAGCAGAGGGATAATATCTTTCACTCTCGTTGCCTGGTCGACGGGAAGGTGTTGTCTGTAGTCATCGATGGTGGTATCTGAACCAATGTGATTAGTCTGGATGAAGTCAAGAAGCTGGGGTTGAGCACCATCAAGCATCCTCAACCATACACTCTGCATTGGCTGAACGACTATGGGAACATCAAAGTCAACAAGAAGGCCAAGTTTTGTTTTCATATCGATGATTATGTAGATGAGAGTTGGTGTGATGTTGCTCCAATGCAGGCTGCTCATCTCTTATTGGGTCATCCGTGGCAATATGATCGAGGACCTATTCATGATGGAAGGCACAACAGCTACCAGTTCAAGAGAGGTGACCGGAAGTTCCTGCTAAATCCATTCTCACCAGCTGAAGTCCGGGAAGTTCAAGTTGTTCGAAGTCGGAGGACGAAACTGGAGCGCATCTGATGCTGCGAAGGAACATGTTGACTACATTGAGGAGAAGTTCATTTGGAAATATTGTTGATGTGATCTCTTGCAGGAAAACACCATATTTGAGGACAAAGCTTCTCCAACGGGGAGGGACTGATGCGGCCCCAGCAGCGGAAGAAGGGATGGCGCAGGGGGAATACTCGGTCAA